CAAAAATTCTTGAGTAGGATTCTCACTGGGGATGAGACATGAGTTCATCATTTTGATCCTGAGACCAAACAGTACTGCAAGTGCACAGGTTCCACCTCCAGAGGATAGCATCTATTAGTAAGGTTTTTTGCGGGGGAATGGGTAGGAAAAAGGTAGGCATGATGACAGGCAAGTTCATCAAGGCGGAGTACTATACTAGTGAACTGCTGTGCATGGGAGGAGTCAAGACTATGGGCTTTCAAACACTGAGCTAAGGAGTGCCACTATGCCAGGACCATGGATCACTCCACACATCCCAGGTTCCAGTTACAACAGCAACCAAATGTGATTCTAGCTTCTTTCCCATCCACCCTGTTCGCCACAGAAGATTAATTCCCTCAAACAACCCGTTTCCCAAGTTGAAGGGAGACATTAATGGGAAGAATTTCACTGTTGATGAGATGATTGCAGCAGCAGAGTTGTTTCAGCATAAGGACGTGAGATGGGCATGGTCAAGCAACAGTTGCTTTGGACCAAGTGCATTGATATCAAGGGGAAAATATTGAAAAACAAACTGTTGAATGCAGATGTTCAGGCTGGAACTTTTATGAATTGAGGTAGAAACATAGTCAGTAAAAGTTGTGAAGCAAGTGGATCTCATTAAGTTTACAGTTTCCAAAAGACGAGACCTACAAACTAAGGGAAGTATTGCTTTTAATCCAGTTTTTGACCACCAAAGTCTGACTCTGTCTAGGAAATCTCTTTTGGCAATTTCCTGTACTGAATAGATTTGGAGACCTGTCCTTAGTCATTCAGCACACTTCAGTTAAATGAAGTTCCACAGCAAGTACAAAACTGAATGCCTGTCAAATTTCCTGTCTCCACATGAAATCTTTATCTGGTGTTTCAAATACCATTTCCAGGCATGCCTTTCTACTTTCTGGAAATCAAGGTCATGTTCCTCAGAGTAGTAGCATCTTTTAGGCAAACAAGTGAAGTTGGAGTCCTGTGTATCTCAACCTGTTTTTTTTAGTTTCCCCTGTTTTATGACACACCCGGACTTTGCTTGAAGCTATTTCTCATTTCAGACCAGACCAGAAGTGTTTCATCTATCTTAAAAATGTGATGAAAGTCTGTTCCTCCTATTCAACCCTTTAAAGAACTTTCATAAATCAAATGTTCAGCAGCTTATGGGGGTAATCAAAAGGGGAAAAAATTGGCTCATCACTATCTATTAATGAATGGGACTTGCCTGTCTAATGTCATTGTGGAAAGGCTGACCATTTCAGAATGAGAGATTTGGATTGGCAGGTTCTTCATTAAAAAACCATACAAGGTATTGGTCTCCTCTGAGTAAGCCTCCCTTTCTTAGATCTTGTAAAAAGCTGACTTTCCCTCAAAGCATTTTCCAGTCTTGTTCACTCTTCCTTTTTACTATCTCTGGCTTAGACATGCTGGCTTAGATGCATGTTATATGGCACATAGGGGTGATTGCAAACAGGATCTACCCCTTTCCCCCCATAATCTTAAACATCTTTAAGCATATACTTGAGAGTTTACTTTTTCTTCCTGAGAACCATAAATTCTTGATTCTTTAGCTTTGAAAGCTGTTCCCTGGAGGCTGGTTATTTATAATTAAAGAATTTGGTACAAAGTTTAGTTAGTTGGCCTGCATTTTTGAGCACTTGGGGTAGTGCTGGTTGATGCCTCTAGATTGGTGAATATGCTTGTTACAGTAGTTCCATTTAAAGGTTTGTGTGTGGGGAGGGATCCTATCTTTTGATTTTTTTCTAGGTTGACTAATTTGTTTTTATGAAATGTCATGTGGTTTAATTGGAAACCTGTAGAAATTTAGAGATTGTAATGAAATGCATAGCTAACTTGATTCCATTAAATGTTTGTACATATATATATAATGATATTGCTGCAATATGGTATTTAAAAAGTAACTTTTTAAACTGCATCCTAAGACCTTTGTAATGTAACATTAAACAACCACTTTTTATAAAGAGAAAGGAAATGTTGTTTACACACAATACAGTGTAGTTGCTTTCTTTGGTCATAAAATACTTGAAGCAAATCCATGTATCCCTCCGTGTAGCCACTAGATGTCACAAGTACTACAGGAGCCTGTGAGGTTACTAAGGGCCTGGTGGAAATTCAACAACATATGACAGGACTTCACATATTTCACTGTTTCCACATGGTAGATGCCAGAAAAATCTGATACAGTGTGATATATAGAAGCAAGGTACAACTGGAATAATGAAATTTCAAAAATAAGCTCTTTTTAAAGGCTGGTTGTAACAGTCCTGTTGGGTATTGTAAATGCCTCAGGTGCACTTGATACTGCTGTTACGTTCCTGGCTTTTGGTTCTAATTTTTATGGAAAGATGGATTGAACTTCAATTTAAGAATATTCGGTAATCCCTCTCAGGACATACTGTAACAGCTGGTATTTTTGTGTTGCAGCAAATCGATTCCATACAGCAGTCAGCAATACCTAGAGCTGGACTCTGACAAAAACTTCCAAAGCATTTTAAATAATTTGAGCCAAAGAAAATAACATCATCACTGCAAAAATGTAGCTTAATTTGCAACTTTAGGGGGAAAAAAATCCCTGTTCCATTCCAACAAAATATTAAGCATTTGACTGGTAAGGATTTCATCAGGTCATTTATTTTTCATTAATATATATATAGGATCTAGAGGGAATAACTTTATGCCATATATAAGTTTCTTAAATAATAAGGTGTCTAGATTTTTTTTTTTTTAATATTGAATGATTTACCGTGAAAAAATAGAAGAATAATATCCAGGCTTTTTAATATATGGCATATATACAGATCAACAGGATTTTAAAGTTTACTTGGATTTTCTTGAAGAACCAGCAGTTCTAATTAGTAAAAATGCAGTGTATTCGTTAGTGAAAATGCTTTGTAATAGTCAACATTCAGTTTTGACATGGGACAGAAGCTTTAAGTCACATGTGAATAAGAGGTATGTGACTATTCAAGAATTGTTGCATTTTATCAAGCTTAATACACATGCGAAAATTAAAAACTCTGCAGTCCTTCAGATAAGGATACTTTTGCTGATTGTGGGATTATAAGCAACTCTTGATCATATATGTTCCTTTAGGAAAGCTATATATGTAAAAATAAATTAGAAATCAAATATTTGTGTCTATTTCAAAAAAAAAATGTACAGTGTGTCCTTGGCTTAGACTTCCAGATTTTTTTTTCTAACTGAAGTCTGGCTTGACTTGCATGAAGATGTTTGGTAACTGCAACATTATAAGGAAACCTTTGTCACCCTTGACTGCTAACCTTTTCTTCTCTGATTCAAATTCTATGTTTTGGGAAAAATGAAGTTGTCCTTGATCTTTTGAACATTAATACAAGACATTCCTTTGGAAACTGATAATTTGTTCATTTAGAACTTGTTTTCCTGTTTCCTTGAAGCTCTTGAAACTAAATTTTCTTCAGTTTGCTGTCTAACTTATGTAAAACATATAATCCTTACTGCTTCATTCTCAAAAAAAAAAAAACTATTTACAAAAAGGGTTGTTTCTTGCTGGTGGAGTGAAACCTGTCATCTTTTACAAAACAAAATGAATTCTTCAGGGACTATAGATTTCTGCTGTATGTAATTTTTTTTTTAATCAGGTAACGTCTGAAATGTAGCATATATAATTTTCCTTTAGGTATCATTTTTTAAATGCTAAGGAATATAAAATAAGTTTATATTTGAGGTATGGTTAGCAGCTCTGTGACTTTTTTATTTATAGCTTATTAAGTTCTAACAGTCCTTAATCTATCATAGTAATTTTAGCCTGTTTTTTTTTGTGGAGAACAAAAGATGCAACAGTATATATTGTGTATGGAACCTGTGCTTATAACCTAGGAATGTTGCAAAGTACAAATATGTCCAAAATATGCACTTTTAAAGTGAGGAGGACTTCAAGAAAGTAGTCTTCTAATTAGTAACACCCAGTCAGTACCCATTCTTGTGACAAATTGAAATCATTCTGATTTCTTACTTAGATGACATGCTTTATTTTCCAGAATCAGGAAAAAATATCATCTTTCAGATGTCTGTCTGTTTTCATACCCCTGTATAAGTTAACATTGGTAGTTTTAACCAAATTCCTTTTTGCTGGTTTCTAACTGAATTCCTTTTCCCTGGTTTGTATTACAACTTGATAGTTTGTGTTTAAATCTAGGTTTTTATTTCTGTGACCTCTCAACAGTGTCCTCTCTCTCCAAAGGAACTGAACAAAACCAAACCCATTGTAGCAACTTGCTTGTGTAGTAATTTAAAAAATTACCGGTATAACTTGTTAGTATGAAAGGTACAGGGAGACATGCTCCGCTAGTGGAAATTGTGCTTCCACCAAAGTCGATAAAGCTATGTTCATTTATGCCAGCTGAAAACATGTTCTCAAAGTCTGTATTTAAGAATTTATCTTGAAGTTTTAATCTGTATTCCAAACTAAACATGAATTGCACATCAGTTGCTAAATGAATTGAAAAAAAAAATGCAATTGGAAGTTAAATGGAGGCCTTATTTAAATTGATATTAGAGTTAACAACAGTGGTTCTGGTGAACAGCGAGCAATTTTAAAGTATTCACTGTTTGGGGAAAATAGCCCTTTATTTCCAAAATACTTGACATTCTAGGGTTAAAACATGTAATTTATAGAAGGGAAATGTTAAACGATTTTTACAGCAGCATGGGATTGAAGACTGGATTGAAGAAAACAAACTTGCTTCACCTGGGAAAAAGTCTTAACAGTCTAATATAAACACAGTGCTCTCTTGTTTTTAATTGAAAACCTAAAATTAAATCAAAAGCTTGTTTAGCAATAATGATTGGACTTAGGCAGTATTGAGAGTGTTTCGGAAGAACTGCAAGCTACTAACTAGATCAAGTTTTAAAGAAGTTTTTTGACATAGTTAAGCTGCAGTAATTTACAGTTTAACAGTTCTTTATTGTAAAATTGTTTCTGTTCTTTCTAGGGGAAGCTTGGAGATTGCATAAATCTTTGTAGACAACTTGGCTGCAAGCAGTTCAGCTGAAATTAACTGCTGCCTTCTGGCTGTGGAGTGCTATTCTAACGTTCCTGTGTGATATTCTGTAGACTAAATCATGCCAGCTTTATCAACTGGATCTGGAAGTGACACAGGTACGCAAACCTTGGAGGACTGCATGTTTCCTCCAGGTCTATTTGTTAAGTCTACAACCTTTATCTACAGAATTTATCAATAAGTTTATTAATTCCAGCCATAACAGTTGGCTAAACTAGCACTTTTAAACTTAACCTCTTCTCCCTGTAGTTAATATAAATATACTAAACATCAGTGATTAACCTCCCCCACCCCCTCCAAACAGATTATATAATGTTTGCAAGAATTTGTGTTCAGTCTTTGGCTTCTACAACGTTAACTTAAAAAAAAAAAAAAAAAAAGTGCATGAATGAAATCATTTTACATGCCCCAATGTTTGCAACAGTCTAGACTATCCCCTCTGTGAATTACAGATATGAGTGATGTTATTTCTGAACTCAAACTGTTTTGGGGTATTTTTTCCCCCTCCCTTTTTTTTTTAAAAGACTTTTCTCAAGTTCTCTTCTGTACTGTCTTCCATGGAGGGCCTCATTCCCACCTTTGGATATAGATAGTGGCAACGCAGAGATACATGTTTTCCATAGCTTTTAAAAGCATTACTCTTCTTTTTGGTAATTTTAGGACACACAATGTATGCCATTGATTCTCAGCTGGGGTCCTGCAACATCCTGGGGTGCCACAAGATCCTCTTAATATTAGGTGTACAAGCATCCACAGATGATTCACAAGATAAACCCAGAGATTTCAACAAAGAATCCATAGTGTCAAAAATATTTTGGTATACTCTTGTGTTTTTTTTTTTTTTAATTCTTTGATCAATTAAATTATGTTCCTGTAGTCAAGAAATGAGTAAATGGTAAGACATGGCCTTTTCTGAGGGGTGCCTTGAGCCTAATGAGGAGTGCCTTGCATCTAAAAAGGTTGAGAACCATTGATGTATGCAATGGTTTAATTTCTATCCTGGTGTTACAAGCATGGCATCCCTGTGCAAAAGGTGTTTAGCCCCATTTTAGAGCAGAGAAAACTAAAGCAGTAGGATAAGCAAGGTTAGATAATCCTCTTTTACCTTAGGACATATGGTAAAAAAGTTCCCCCAGGTGGGTTAGAACTTGGATTCCTGGTTATTGAGTGTGTGCTCATTTTGCTTGATCACATAGTTTTGTACGCAAAAAGGAATGGGAGCATCTAGAAAGGGATAGGAAGATTTTTAAGGGAGGTTCTAAAATACACATGTAATTCTGCTTCATTAGTCTTTCTGGTTTGTGTAGAGGAGTAAAAGATTAATCTAGCTTTGGTAGCAAAAAAAAATTCTCTGTCTAAAATTAGATTCACGTTTTTTATATTTCTTCTTATTCCTTACTCTGACTCTTAGTCCTTGTGCTGTATTTTCAGGAATTTATTTCCTTTAGTCTCTCCCCAAGAGGTACTGCATTCCTCTTTCATGACAGTTGAGTCCAGCTAGTATGCTTGTTGATCTTTATCCTTGAATTCTGGAGGACTTATCACAGAGGGTTTGTGCTTAAATAATTTTTTTTATGTCAGTCAACCTTTCCTTCAGAGAACCACTTAAAGAACATCTGTTGGCATTTCCTGAAATTTGGCACGTTCAATGATGAGTAGAGATGGGCAGTAGGATAATGGTACCTAATGCACACAGGATGGCTTATGATATTATTTAATCAAGAAAATGAGCCCACAGATGATAAAGCTCAGTGACAATGAATTTCTGAATAAACAAAATAAATATTTGAAAAAGTGTGAAAAATTTAAAAACTTAATTTTAAAACATCTTGCTTTTTTAAGCACATGCATTGTACTGTTAAATAATGTGGTGTTCCAAACATCTTCCATAATTGTGATTAATGGCAAAGCTTAACCATCCCCACAAACCCGCAAAACATATTAATAACCCATGACGGCACCATCTGCCTTTTATTGCTTAAATAACATTTTGACCATGGGCCAGAAATCCTGTTTTAGGTACTGCAAGGTGTAAATGGTACTCTTTACTCCAGCAAAGGCTGAAGTTCTGGAGGAAGGGATGATCCTTTTCATCCCATCTCATGGAGGGGATGGCAAGTAATATTTGCAGAGTAAAAAACAGTTTTTACCTGTGCAGAATGCTTATATCACAACTAGGATTTCCCTTATTTTCTGGTCTAGTTTCTCATCCAAATAGCAGTGCTGTTTTTCTCCAAATACTCCCACTCTTTGGTTTAAAGAAGAACATGGAGTCTATTACTTGTGCCAGTACCTGGTGGGAACACCATTTTATGCCTCTCCTGTCCTTTTCTGTATAAAATACATGAATCTGACATGTTGAGAAGTATAATGCAGTTTAACTGAAGCTGCTCCAGCTCATGATAATGTTTAATCTGGAATGTCCCAGAGTTAACATGCTGTTTTAGTGAACCAGTGCAAAGGCCACTAGACCCAGATTTACTGTGGTGGCAGGGAAGGCTCTTGTACAAGAAATTAGTGAGCTGAGATTACTCTCTGCCCAGGCACTGCACCAGCTCTTGTTCAGTTGATTCTTTTTTTTGTTAGTGATGCCACCTATACTTCCTTCAGTTTCTTTCCCAACAAAACCTTTTTGTTTATGGTTTGTCTGCTATTATTTCTCAGAAATGCTGGCCAGTTATCCTGTCTCTTGAATGTGTTTTGGGAGGCACCTAGCAAACATTTGTATACCATGCTAAAATAAGAAGAAAGGTTATGCTTGCTGATTTCCTTTTTTTAAAAGTGTCTTTGTAATTGTTTCCGTGAGAAACCAACCAGGTGGTGATTAATTTTAGTCGCTACCCATCTGATCTAGGTTTGTAAGGATGCCCTAGAGATGAAAGGTGCCCTCTGTATTAGTTCCCTGCATTACCCAGGCTGCTGACAGATGCTCAGTTTAAGGTGCAATGGGATCTAATTTGCAGTCCCAACAATAGCACCTCCTTTCATGCCCCATTTGTGTGGCAGGATGCATGATTTTTGGATTGGATCCCTATTTATACCTTATCTGCCAGTGTACTGCCTTCCCCTTGCATTGGCAAGTTGAAACCTAGATGCTGACAATCATCTAATTGTTATTTGGGGCCAGAACTAGCCCTAGCCCAACCATCAGCTGCTTGTCAGAACTTCAGAAGTGGGGCATATTTATTACTCATCCCCATACAAGGGGACTCATACATTTATTACTCATCCCCATACAAGGGGACACTGGCTGCCACAGCCCAATCCCAAAGTCCCTACACATCATGACCTATAAACCACAGTCTTGGGACTGGTTCTGCGCCCAGCCCAACTGGGTAGGGGACAGCTGTGTCCTGGGCCCTGGGGCTGCTCCATGCTGCATCTTGACATTCACTTGAGTTGCAGGATCTGTCATGGGCCGGCCCTAACTAGCCACATATTCAGTTTAAGGTGTGATGCACGAATTGCAAAATTGTTCTACATTACATGTGGAATAACTTTGGCTCATTGACTGTATTAATCATGCCTTAAATTGACTCAAACTTGTGGCCAGGATACTATTTAGGGCATGATTAACCTGTTAATTGCATCTTAAATGTAATGTTTGTCAGGGTCCTCAGTCTTTCCTTGTTTTCAGTCTTACTTGTAGCTTTCACAATGGCATTAAGTTACTGTTCTTAAGTTAAACCACTTTTAAGTAAGATGGAGAGACTAAAGAGAACGGTTGTACAAGCGTTCTTTTTAAAGCTAATGTCCTATGTATTCTTGGTGATCAGTTTTTCTTTTATAATTCTGATTGCTGGGTTGTGCAAATTTTTCTTTTAAATCTGTAGTTAAACTCTTATCCAAATATCTTTGCATAACTTTAATTGCATAACGTAGTCTTTTAAGAATCTAAAGATACTTTTCATTAAAAGACTTCTTAAATTAATAAAGGCTTATATGCTGATTTTACATTTTGTTTCCTGCTTAGTGCTATTACTCTGAAAGTGTGGTGCCACTGTTCCCTCACAACCTGGAATTCCATGCTGACTCAAGGCAGCTATCTTAAATTCTTTCCTGAGCTAGGGCCCCTAGCTATTTCCAGAGTCTCTTTAAAAGAAAGTTGTTTTTTTGTTGCAAAAGATTCAGAATGTGCTTATGTGCTAGACAACAAAGGCTAAAGTTGTGGAAAATAAACCTGCTCTCCTAATCCAATGAACTATGTTTAAAACTAGTTTCTGTGAATCTTACTCATTTGATACCTTAAGAAAGACTTGAGCCAGAAATCCTGTCCCCATGGAAGTTGATGTTAATTTTGTCATTTACAGGAATGGACCAAGATGACTCCATTTTAAAGCCTCAGAATGTGGTTTTATTATAAAAATGCTATACAAATTATGCTGGAAGATTCCTTTTATAACAATAACTCCATATCAGATGTGCTAAATTTACAAGAGAGAAATGTTTTTTTCTAACTTGTCTTTAGAAACTCATTCTGGGATCTGAAAATCAAGCTGGTTCTTTTGTGACTGATGTATTGTCCACAATAAATCCAAACTTTATTGGACAGATTCTGACCCCAGACAGCTAGTGTGACATGTCTGATAACGGGGTGGTATAGTTATAATAGAATAACTGAAGTCAGAATTTTGTTCTATGTTTAGAAATGAGGGCTGCAACACTGTTGATATACTTGCACTGCTTACTGCTTGAATATTTCACTGTAGTGCTTTGCCAGGTTTGTTGGCTATACGTGGCCTCTGTTCCCAAATAGAAAATTCCAAGTGCTGACAAAGTTTGGAGCTGACTTTGTTCACTGGTCATTAGAAGCTGCTAATCCACCTTAATTTTTTTGCAAATAGATTTCACTTCCACTACTTCATTTATTTTAATTTATTTGGTACCCATTTTAACATAACCTTTTCATTGCCAAATTTTAAATAACATCTGGATTGAAAAGGAAGTTGAATGGGTGGCAAAGCTGTGAAAGGGCACCATACTGAGAGAGGTATGTGCACTTCCCAAGTAAGCAGATGGCAGGTCCCAGGAGGTAACAGCAGGTTCTGTCCTGCTAATGCAGTACAAGTAGGAAGTAACTAAACGTAAGGCAACTCCC